AAGGGTTTAAGAAAGGTTTCCGCAGAACCCGAAACGCGAAAGATTTCTACACGTTTCCCAGGGTTCCTTACTCCTGATATAATAGTAACACCCCCCCTAATCCTAAGGCCCCTTGGTTCCAAGTATTAAGGCCTCCGAAAGCGACCAAAAACCCTACGACACCCTTGAAATAGGGCAGAGACCCGACCTGCTTCGGCTTCATCGATGGGCTGAGTAAGGGTTCCTATAAAGAGGTTGCCATAAGGGGTTCCCATAAGCGCTACTAGAACGGTTATCATGTTTTAGGGCTTGAGAGATTTTGATCGTGGGTGTTGATAGGCGAGAAAGTCGGCAGCCGAAGGAAGACCAGTCTCAGGGTGCTGCCGAGCGGATTACTCGTGGCAGTCGGGAACCCTAATCCCCCAAGGGAGCCCCGACGCAAAACAAAGCCTAAGCTGCTACAGATTACGGCTGGGAACCCTCGCTGTAGTACAGGTGGTCAAGTTCGGCTTGGCCATGATCAAGGCCATGCGCAACAGAACGCAGTGCGAGTGCGATTTCGGATTGTTGGGCTTTTGCTAGCGGACTCGCTCTTTCGCCAGGCGTGGCACTTTCGTTTGTGATGTTGATGATTCAGGGTGTTTGGATTCTTCCGGTCTCCGTTTGTCGTAAGATGCACCCTCCCAACCCTTGCAGTTTAGTAAGGGATGGGCTGTCGGAAAGATCACGTGTCTGCTTGCGTTGAAAGTTGGAACTTCAGATCGGTCTCAGATGAGAAAACCGCAGACGAGGTTGCTCCGGAAAAGCCTGAAAACACAATGCTACAAGTTTGCGTAAGACTTACCAGTCCTCACTGAAACGCGGTGTAGTTACTGTGCAAAACATCAAGCTCTGGATGGCGTGGTGCCGGGTCCCAGCCGAAAGCCCGACCGTTTAGTCATTCCTGAGGCCACTGCTGACTGGGACGAGGGGATGAAGATTAAGAAGCTGGTGGAGCCTAACGCGACTTGCTTCCCTGTTGATTGGTGTTTCACTGGTTTCAGGTTTGAGCTCCCGATCCTCAGTTAATCTTGCTAACGTAGGTTCTTGAGAGGAAGCGCCGGAACCCGACGAATCGACCGGCCCAAATTTGAATTTGTCTCCTACAGACCCATCCAGAGTCTATTCGCAGACGGACGAAAACTATACTCCAACTACCCACCATCAAGTCTCCCTCTGGTCTTCAACCTGCTGTCGCGAAGTCTTTGGCCAGTGGCAGATAAGGGTTTAGGCTTGGACTGCACTTTGGGCACTCTGCAAATCAAAGGGCGTAGACTCTGTAAATCAAAGAGCGTAGGCCCCACGCTGCGTTCCCCAAGCCCTATATTTTCATTGCAGTTTGCCCGCTCTAAACCCAAGTTGGTGAGCCTGAAGCCCCAAAACGCATGGCAGCACATGTGCTCTACAGAAATACGGCGTCTAGCTTTCTTTCCAGGGTTAGGGAGCGGAGACCTTCCAGCCGGAACCCCGAAACCCCTAAACCCAAAGCAAACCTTGGGCCCCCTGAGGAGCCTTGCCTGCCCTGTGCGAGTCGTGAGAGTCGAAACCCCCTACACCCCCCCGAAACAAGCCGAAGCCGCGGAACCCTCAATCCGATAAAGCCTAATCCTAGGTAGTAGCAGGGAGACCCCTTAACGGGGTATGACTCTCTTAATAGGGACCTTATTGAGAGGGTCTATATCCCCAAGGGTCCCCCTAATCCTAACTCCCGCCTAAGCCCCAATCTCCCTTTTCCTGGCTCAGGTGAGAGTTACCTGCCGCGTGGGTCGTCGCCTCATGGGTTTGTGCTTGGGGGCCGGGATGGGGCCTTAAATTACTAAAGTGTAGACCACGGATTGATTTGTGCTATTACATTGTTTATGCTAGATATGATGTAGTACATGTGTGTATACATATATATATATATATATGTGTGTGTGTGTGCGTGTGTGTTTGTGTGTATGCTGCCCCTATCCTTGTCTCTGTTTCTATCATTCGTCTATCTCTATCTATATCTGTTTCTCTATTTGTGTCCTTATCCGTATCTGAATCTACATCCACATCTATATCTGTATCTCTATCTGTTCTATATCTACATCTGTATCTATATCTCTTTCTGTGTCTATATCTTTACCTGCATTTTGTATCTGTATCTAAATCTAGATCTGTATCCATATCTATACCTATATCTTTATGTGTATGGAAAACACCATATCTATAGATGTCAGTATTAATAGCAAAGAAATTGTTCCCGAGTTTTCCTTATTGTACTTATACTGTAAGATACCGCGATACCCCAGGACACTATCCTGCTTAAAGTGCTGCTAAGTCTGATGCAAGAAGACGTGGCCTGCTGACAGGTTTAGTCCCAACATCGAGCGTCAATGCCTTGAAAAACCGGATAGAACATTCCTGCGAAAGAGATAGGGTTTAGGGTTTAGGGCCAGGAGTGCCGAAGTTCACTGTAGATCCTTCACCCCAGGCGTGCATCACGGCCAGTGCATTGGTGGGATTGTGGGCGCCGGACTCAGGACAATGGCCGCAAGCTGTGAAGCATCGACATGCGTGTGTATCTGTGTGATCCGCCTGAAGCAAACAGGCCGCAAAAAGTTTCTGACAGCTCCCACACGCCGAACTAATGGACCCAAACACACAAGGCAGTTGAGTTCCTAATCCCTCAACCCCTGCCGTTTTCCCAGTCTCCAAAAGTTGGGTGGTAAAGTTCTTGTCAATCAAAGAAAGAATGATCAATACTGAGAGGAAAAGAGACAGAGACAGAGAGAGCACCGCAGGTGCGCGCCCGCGCGCGGGGTGTGGGGTTGGACCGCCCTGCACCTCTTGCCTGGTAGAGAGAGAGACAGAGACAGAGACAGAGACAGAGACAGAGACAGAGAGAGAGAGAGAGAGAGAGAGAGAGAGGGGGAGAGAGACGGAGGGAGTGTGCGTGAGTGCTTCCTTAGTACATGGGAAAAGATGGTCACTTCTACAGTTTGCAGGGGGATGCTCCACACAAGTAGAGTGGGTGCCTAGCAAAAAGGCTCTTCAGAGTGTGCTGATATGGTTCCGGGAATCAACACGGCAGCCCCCTGTGGTGTCCAGATTTGTTTTTGCAGCAGCCGGCGCTTGTGCGAAACAGCGAACAAGAACCCTGCCTGCTCTTGCCGGAATCCCACAAGTGTGGAACATATATAGGGTCCCGGAGACCTGTCATCAGCGGCTTTCCGTCATCGCCGTGGCGGCCCTGCGGGGTAGCTGGCCAAGGGCCAGACATCGCTGTGATTCTTCGGGTTGATGGGCTGACACTCCCAGGCACCTACTCGATACCGGCTATCCGGAACTAGTGCGGGCAGCGGCAAGTGCGGATGACGGCATGTGCATCTGACATAAGGGCATGTGCAGTAACGGTGCGTCTAGTGAGTCTAGCGCAAGTGCAGGTGCGCAGGATTACCTCCACTATTCTGTCCTTTTTTATTGCTTCTTTTCTCAGGGAATGCAAGTGCATGTGAGTTTGACATGAGTGCACATGCAGTAACTTCGTCTAATGTATTGCTGTATTGCTCCCCGGGAGCATGATACCCCCAGCAGCGCAACAACCGCGGCAGCAGCAGAGCAACAACGGTCCCGCTGCCTTGTTTGTTGAGGTTTAGGTGCATGTGGTCTGACATGCGTGCAGGTGCAATAACTTTCGTTTAATGCATTGCTCGCCCGAGAGCCTGAAGCCTGCCCTGCGCTTTGTCGGGCTGTGTGTGTGCGCTTCCTTAGTTCATGGGAAAAGAGGGTCACTTCTGCAGTTTGTAGGGGGATGCTCCACACATGAAGAGTGGGCATCTAACATAAAGGCTATTCAGAGTGTGCTGATATGGTTGCGGGACACTGGAACCGCGTACTTGCAAATCAACACGGCAACCCCCCGAGGTGCCACGATTACACAAGAGGACAGCCACCTGTGGTGTCCAGATTTGTTTTTGCAGCAGCCGTCGCTTGTGTGCGACAACGAACAACAACTCCGCCACACCCCTCTTCTCTGCTTTCCTCTTGCTCTTGCCGAAATCCCACAAGTGTGCCAGTGAGTAGAGCGAGCGGAAGGAATGCCAAACATCGCAGACGGCCCCCGACCCGCGATTGCTGTTTCTTAAGGCACCGGGATGATGCGCTACCACCTCTTTGGGCAGTTCATGGGTCAGGTCGGGGAGTCTTGTTGAGGGTTTGGAGCTGGAGGCTTTTGGGGTTTAGGCCCTGCCCGGCCGAACTCAGCTAGAGGGAACCCTGTCTGATGGTGACATTCCGGATGCTCTGAGGCGAGATTTCGCAAGCTGGACATGCCGACGCCGTGCCCGTTAAACAACATGCTCAGTAATGCTCTCACATCTCAGTACAACCCTTGGGGCTCTTCGTTAAAGCCAGTTTGCAAGGGTTTCACTGGCCAAGCTACATTGCACTCCCGAGCTTGTTTTTTCTTGACAGCGCTGACGAGCGAATGAGATGCAGAGCAGGTGAGATCGCAGAGCCCACAGCCTCGTTCAGTTTTTTCGCCAAGCGAATTGCATTACGGCCATGTGAATGGACCTGTCCCGCTGTTGGAAGAGGCTTTATTACCAAAAACTTCAGAAACAGCAAGTGTTCAAGCATAAGAAATCAGTTGTAAACGAATTAAGACTATTGAAAATTAGCGTGGTGAAGATCTGCCTTCTGTTAACTCTGGGAGTGCTGTACTTCTGGTTAGGCTTGCACGGCTCTAGCACTCGGCTCGCATTCATTTTTACCGTGTTGGATCTGTAAGGCTATGCGGCTTGCCATGGGGGCCTAGCCCCCGTAGGCGAGGGCATATGCAAAAGGAGCCCCCGCTTGTCGAGAATGCTCAACTGCTAGAGCCAGTGCCGCAAAGTGCCATGGACTCGCCAGCCTTCTGAAGCATACGTGAACTATGTAACTTTTGAAAATGTGCCCTTCAGGTGCCTCTTTGAAGCCCAAAGCCTCCAAACCATCCTCTGCCGATTCCACTCATGTCGACATTTCCATGGGCAGGTAGACATCTTGGAGGCCACGTCCCGCGAAGGTCAATGCCAGATCAGCAGAGCCTGCATGAAGCTGGACATTGAATAATTTGGTTTAGGATTCGAGGTGCTAGCATGGGTTCTAGTATACGGACTTTACATTCATGGTGCCGCGCGTACGGGCTCATGGCCGTAGGGCAAGGGTTCTGGGCTTTCGGGTGTTGGGCTTGATGCTTCGCTTCATTTCGGAGTGAAGGGGGGTTCCGAGCCAAACCTCCAGACTCCTCGGGTGACCCGGGTGCTGCGCTTCTAAAGGTTGGGCCTTCGGGCTTGGGCTAGTTGTCATGGTTTGGGCATGGATGCACTGGCCAATGGATGGGTTGGCGGCATGGACATGGCACGATGCAGACCTGAGCGACAGAGAAAGGGGGGGCAAACGAGGGTGATGGAGCCTATATTCTAGTTTTATCATACTATACGGACTATACGTCTATACATTACATGGCCATATCTCTTGTGGACCTCTAAGACTCCCAGCCCTCTGGTAGACATCCCTTCGGAGCCGATGCCCAGGGAGAAGGTCTGGCAGGAGGCTGGCAAGGATGCGCTGAGCTACGAGGAATCGGTATGATAAGATGGCTCATCCCTAGAGAACCCCGACAATGCAAGCTGCAGAAGAAGCCGTGCTCGCGTCCGAAGCTGCGGTTGTGGGGATTCCAGGGGTTCTGGGTGTCTGGGCATCTGCTGGTAGTTGGGGTTCGGGGCATACCATGAGTGTCTCATCCCTGTTAAAATGCCTGGCATGCATCCAAGCACGTTGCCTTGCTGTTTGGACCTGTTTGCTGTGCTCCGAAGATCTTGGTAACCCTAAGCCCCAAACCCAAAACCCCTAAACCCTAAACCCTAAGGCATGGTCTTGCATCAGACCAGTCATTTCTGAACCTAACAAGCTCCCTGCGGTGCGACCTAGCCAGCTGGGCGGGTGGGACCCCCTAAGCCCAAACCCTAAACCCCTAAACCCTAAGCCCTTAGGATCTCGGACGCTGTGAGCCATGCCTGCTTTGCGAGTGTGAGTCGAAACCCTAAGGGAGGGTTCCAGGGGCCATGCCCGAGGGTCTTGGTTTGGGTCCCAGGATCTTTGTACAGCTGCTGGTGCGTGCATGATGTAGAGGCCTTCATGATAACCTATACTGTTTTGGGGGGCTCCTTATGACAATTATAGTATAATATAGGTTACGGGTACTGCTACTACTACGACGACGACGACGAATGTTATGTATAATAAGACGAAGATTGTCGGGTCACGACCATCTGAGCAGGTGAAAAGTAAACTGCGCCGGTCTCATTCGGACTGTGTCTGAGCTTTGTAGTTTGTGATGTTGCTCTGTTCTAGGTGTGGGTTGGGGTTGAGGTGCAGGGCTCAGTGTTATCACTCGCTCCCAGACGCCATCGACCATGCCCCAATAGAATGCGCCAGTGTCAGCGCAAAAATATCACCGAAAGCTCTCTCTGCAGGAGCGGGCGAAAAAGGAGGGCCAACCAGAGCTCCAAACTTCCAAGGGCGAGGTCCACTACTTCGAGGAAGTTGGTGATCCGGCTGCTGAGGGGCCTTGAGGGTCTTTGTTTTTGGGGGTTGAGGTTCGGTTTGGTATCCAGCAGAGGAGGCAGTAGCTGGCTGCATGGCATGCTGCCACGCGAGAGGATGGGGAATGGGTGCAAGAACTAGCGAGTCAAGAGCTTGAAGTAAGGCATCAGGAGAAAGGTTTAGGAGTCTGGGGTTTACAGAATGGTATGCTTTTTATGTCATGCAACAGTCTTACATGGGGCCCCCAGGACTCCTCGCATGTGTAGTTCTTGGCCCGACTCAGGTGGCGCTCCAACCTACTTGGTGGAGGTCGGGCCAAACCGAAGCCGGCAGTAGCTTTAGCCAGTATACTATAGTATACTCATCAGGCTGTGATGCCTTGCGGCTTGTTCTTCAAATTCTCATGAGCGCTCATAGCGCAGTGTTGTTGTTCTTGTCATGGCTGACATGACATGCTGCTGCCATCACAGCAACAAGTAGTGCAACAAGTAGATCAACCAGTCGTGTAACTAGTAGTAGTAGTAGTAGTAGTAGTAGTAGTAGTAGTCGTAGTAGTAGTAGTAGTAGTAGTAGTCGTAGTAGTAGTAGTAGTAGTAGTAGTAGTAGTAGTAGTACAAGCACCACTACTACTGCTGCTGCTGCTGCTGCTGCTGCTGCTGCTGCTACTACACAAAAAACTACGACGAGTGCTACGGTAGTATCAGTATTAGTACTTGCATTTTTATTACTATTATTATTCGTATTTGTATCAGTATTAGTAGTAGTAGTAGTAGTAGCAGCAGCAGCAGCAGCAGCAGCAGCAGCGTAGCAGCCATAGTAAGGTAGTAGTGTTCTCGTGTTCCGTACCGGTATTCGCGAGGTTTTCGCAACATCTCCTCAGCTTATTTTGGTACATTTTGTCGTGTCCATGCAGTTTTCGGTTTATTCACCATCGTTAATTGTTGCCCACGCTCTCTCACGTTCGATAGCGTTTGGGGCGTTCAGACGGGTTTTCGGCAGTGTCTTCGTTTTGTAAGTTTCATTTAGGCTAGATGGTCGGGGGATGTCGGGGGTGGGGGGTGGGAGGGCGTGTTGGGGGGCGTACTCTTCAGATTTCTGTCGGAGCAGCAAGCTAGATTTCGGTGCCCGGTGCTACAAAGCCCTCAAAAGTCGAAAGCACTTATAGACTTGCGCTCAAACCATGCACAAGAATGGGTGGGCAGAATCCTGCTGATTTTGTTGATGGTGTTCGGGATGATGATGGATTGGTTTCAACTTCATCTTCATCTTCATTACAGTCATCATCACAATCATCATGAGGTTCAGTCAGCACATTCCTGAGCTAGATTTCGGACGTGTGAAAAGCAGAATTGGGAACTCCCTTGGGTGCACCTTGGTAGGGAGGGAAGGAGGGAAGGGAGGGACGGCAAGGGAGAAGGGAAGGGAAGGGAGAGGGAGGGAGGGGGGGAGGGAGGGAGGGGAGGCAGGGGAGGGAGGGGAGCAGGGAAGCAACAGCACACAAATCTTCTTTTCACTAAATAATTTCAAGCCCTGAACCCTAAACCCCAAACCGAACCCTCAAAGCCTTGCGCGAGGCAAGCCTCGTCTCACGCCGGGGAGCTCGGGCTGACCGGCATTACCTCATGTGGGATTGCATGTATAATAACCCCGCGCCTTTACGTTTAGTCTTGACCGGTCCCAGCTTGTTGTTTCAAGCGTTTTCTGTGGAAAAACGATAAGAAGAAATAAAAGCGATAACGTGACATAGGACCCGTGCTTGACTTGAGACTTGAAGTCGTAGTCTTCTCAACGTCGCAAATCCCGGGTCATGGTCGTGATAAAACGATAACAACACGATAACGAAAACGATAACATTCCGGACGTTGTGGTTGATAGGGCTTCTATTGCGAAGTTTTGCTACAGAATTCGAAGTAGGGCATCTATGCGGAATATGTACCTTTACGGAAACCCTCAGGCAGATTACAACAACCAACTATGATGGACCTAGCTCAGCTTCGGGTGCGACTTCTGCGGCATCGTTCGATGGTGTTGTGCCCGCACGAGGGCGATATGGTAATAGATGGATGGGCGATGGGTTTCTCAAGCCCCAAAATGTGAAGCCATCAGGTAGTTCTTAAACTAAGCACCTGAGCCTTCAGCCCGCCTCAGCCCAGAAGCGCTAAACCCTTTCAGTCCAGACCCCCGGCAGCGAATCATGAACCCCTCTGTGGATGTCTTTCGTGATTTGGGGTTGGGAACACGCCTAAACAATATAGTTGTGCTGACCGGCCCTTAATTCGTAGGGTCGGGGGCTTTTCATCCATCCTTTGGCTTTAACGTCGATGCAGAGGGCCTTTGTCCCCGGACTCCCTGTATTTCCATAACAATAGTAATATCAAACATAATATTGATACAGATCAATATTACGATTGCCATCTGTATTCTTATGACGACGACGACGGCTACTACTACTCCGACTACGACTATGACTGCGTACGACTACTGCTACGAGTATTGATAAGATAATAACAACAGAATTCTAATCATTACAAGCAAACAACAGCAATATTATATTAATCCCCTCTGAGGCGTGAAAGGTCTGGAAGAGGACGTCTGGCACTTTAAGCAGCAGCTGACGCAATTGGAGAGGCAGGGGTTGGAATGGGTCCCTTTCATCAGTGATTTCCCGTAAGGGAACCATGGTTTTGGGAAGCCCTCACGTGAAAGGTATGGAGACACGTCTAATTGTTGCTATATCGGTTATTTTTAGCGATTAGCGATGTTATCGCCCGCAGATGCAAGATCCCTTGTAGAAATCGAGCAACGGCAACAAGCCCCGTGCTAGCAAGCGACTGTGGCAACGCTATGCAGCGCTGCAGATTGCGTAACATGTGTTTCGACCATTTTTCGATACCAGCATGTTTGAGCTTCATCCTCGGCTTTAAGGCACCACCCAAGTCGCAGCCCAAAGCATGAGTTGTTTGTGCGTGCTTCGCGTTTCATTGCTACAGCGTAGCTGTTTGCATTTCTCCGGCTTCGCAGGCTCATCCCGGGCAACCGAAACGACGACGAAATGGATGAGGCAGAGATTTCGGACTTAGGTTAACTTCCGGGCTTCTCAAGGCTTCGATGTTCAACTTATGCATGTGTCAGGCGGATCCGCGAAGAGTTTTTGTGGCTTCGGGGCCTAGGGAGTCCAAGCTGCTCGTACCTTTTAGTCTTGTTCGTTCAAGCCAGGAGGTGCTTTTGCGGAGGTCCTTGTTCCTAATCAGAAGCATCCCAAGCATCACTCAAAGTCCGAAGCACTGGGTCTGGCAGCCGCTTTGGAGTGCTTCAGGGTTAAGAGGTTTCGGGGGGACTTCTGGGTATACGGCAGAATAGGCTTTAGGCTTTGTTACTTTGTTGAGGGCAGAGAGCCTTTGGTGCTGCGAACGGGGTGTCTTTTTTTGGCTTCTTGGAGTCGGGTTCGGGCTGAAAACTTGCAGTCCAAGGGTTGGGAATTCAGGGCTTGGGTCTGTAGCTTCGGGTTCTTCAAAGAGCCTCTTGAGCCACGAGGGAAACCCTACACAAAAGACCGAGACTTGAAGAAGGGCCATGCCTAGAAGAGCTACGATCGTCATGGCCCTGCCTACAGCTACGCCTAAGTCTCCGAGCGCGCCAGGATTGGGAATGGGATACCCGTGGCAGAGACATATAGCCACACGTCAGACGCAGGCTCGAAGGGTGTGGCCACCGGTGAATGCTCCTGAACTGGTTAGGGTTGGAGGGTCCGAAGGAAGGGTTGAGGGATTTAGGGTGGTTGAGGCGTGTGGGTTCCACGGTAGACGTTGGGGTTAGGTGTAGGGGCTGTGGGGTCAGAACATGTCATGGCTGCTGGGAAAAGCGCGATGGGTGCAGTAGAAAGAGTTCTTTCAACATCGATATCACTCCGCCCTCGCAAACGCCACCTAACGGCTCGCAGCACGTGAGCGATCCTAGATGTGTGCTCTTGAAACCGTGCTTGCAGAATGAGCCTCAGATCCTGCAGCCAGCGTTTTCAAGCCTGGGACGCAAACACGAACCCTAAGCAGCAGACCCGAAGCCCCCACATGCCCCCACAACCTCACCGCAAGGCATTTGAACACCGTACAACTCCTACACCCTCGTTTTGCCGCCAAGCCCCCTAAGCCTAGCCAAGCATGCGCTTCTCGCTGCTGCCTGCCCTCTTCACCGGCGCCGCGCTGGCTGCCGGGGATTCCGAGGTGCCATCTGCGGAGCCCAGCACAGGCCTGCGGTTTCGGGCTTGCGGTGCAAGATTTGGGGGCTCGAAAGTTGACGCTTCTCCTGGGCTTTCGCTCAGGGCCTCAGGGCTGTGTAGCTCAGCAACTCTTCATGCTCAGGGCTTTAGGTGTGTAGGCTGCTATGTCTCGCACACTCACTCTCTCTCCCTTTCTCTCTCCCTCCGTCTTTTCCAGGCCTCGACTCAGACATAGGCGCTGGGAAGAAGCGGCCGTCGCGGCCCTGGTATCAGGTTTATGCCGCTTGTCAGAGTTTGGAGAAGAGGCATGGCAGGTGCCAAGCACGAAACCAGCAACAGCTCCCACTATGCTGGAACCGAGAAAGGACACCTGGGACGGTCGATTGGTCGATTGCCAGTTGTGCTTGTTGAGGTGTCAGCACATTGGGAATGATTTGCTTTTGAGTTTCCTTGCTGTTCTCTTTTTTGTCTCTAGGCAATCTAGGCTTTGAGGTGTTGAATCTTAATAGTGATAGAACGAGGAAGCGGATATCTATTTTTTCACTGATGCGCAGTACTTTGGGCTATGCCGTGTCGAACTGAGCGGACGCATGGAATAGTGTCTGAGTCTGATGCATGAGGTTGCAGAACGCTCCTCTGATTTCGGCATGGAGTGTTGGTGGGCTCACGGTATTGCTCTTTCGGATCGAAAGAACATCGTACTTCGGCGCTGTCCCTCGAAGAGAGCCTGTCTTCTGCATCGCGTTAGGAGAGTTTGGGGTCTTGTCCTAGCATGAAACAGTTGACGAAGAACGAAGCTCTTCAAGTGCCACGTCCTCGGATTGCTGACAGACCATGCTGCGCGAAGAGTAGCCAGATTCCGAGGAGAGCAACGTCAAGACAGTCATCTTCTACTCACTGAGTGCCGTTGTCGTTGTCGGCTACCTGGGCGACAGGTGCCACGGCTCAACTTACTCGGCAGGCCATCTATGGCCCAACCCAAAGATCCTCAAAAGGCGTGCTGAGACCTAAAGACGTAAAAATTACGTTCTACTAGTACAACTCCGTGACCCGCGCCATCGGCGTCAACTGTAGGCCGGTCTGAGGCAGGAAGACCGGAACCAAGAAATGGGGGACCTCGCACTGCTTTGCGGGCAGACT